AAACAGTTGTTACCAAATGTCATCACGAAGTAGTGGATGGAAACACCAGATCCGCCACAGCTCCAAATGCCTCCCTCCCTCCCTCCCTCCCTCTTCCCGTGACTGTGTGCTGGGCTTTTCCTTCCTCTGGTCCTCTGGGCCCAGCCTTCTCTCTTTCTCTCAATCACTCCCCCAGGCTGTCCCGAGCTGCATATCTGAGCTTCTCGTGTTGACTCTGCACGTGATGAGTTCCTTACCTGCACCGCACGGCCCCCAGGGCCCTTCAAGGGAGGTGCAGAGAGCCTGGAGAGGGAACGGTTAGGATGAGGAGGGCGTAGAAAGTCTCTTTGTCCACTGGTTATGTGGGACTGGAGACGCGCTCGGATGCTTCAGAGCATGCGCTGCTCTTCCTCGGGAGCACCCATATTAGGCAGCTCACAGCTTTCTGCATCTCCAGCTTCAGGGGATCTGATGCTGCCTTCTGGCCTCTGTGGCCACTACACTCGCATGCATATACGCAAAACTCTTAATTTTTCTATAAAATTAAATCTTTCAGGAAACTAAAAGTGAAAGATGAACTGGGCATGATGGCTCCCTTCTGAAAGCAGATCCCTCAGGAGGCTTATGAAGGAAGAGAGCCAGGAGTTCAAAGCTAGCCTGGGCTACTTAGTAAGTTTCAGGCTAGAAAAAAGTAAAGTTAGTTTTCAACTGGGTCTCAGGTTACTCAGCTGGCCAGAGAGGCCCTAGAGTTAAATGTTTCGTTGGCTGTCTTCTTTCTTTGCCACCAGGATCTTTGCCCATGTAAGTTCTCTAAGCCTTCAGGAGTTTATGTTCTCAAACGGATGAGTTTTCAGCTCATCAATAGAGAATGTGCTTAATGTGCATAAAGTCCTAGGCTTAGTCACAGTACCACAGCGGGATGGCATATGTGCATACTTGTTATCATCCAGGCTTGGCTGAGAACCTTCCAGGATTTCTCACATGCAGTCCACTGCGTGAGCTCTGATGCCCAGGCTAGGACTGGTCCTGCCTCATGCCCTCTGCTTGACTCTGAACATATTACTCTGACTCCATCCTTTCCCGTAATGTATGCACATGGGACACTGTAAGTTGTAGGATTATTGAGAAAATTGCCTACATTATATGAATTATTTAAAAGAGAATTTGTTATACACAGTGAGTATTAAGTCTATAGTATACTGGGAAACTTGTATGCATAACTAAATCTTTAACCTGGTAGGCAGTACGTACAGTCTACATACAACATGGCATTTCCCATGCTATATGGAGAATATATTTTCCATTTTACTTTAAAACACATTTCCCCTCACTTTTGTTAATGTAAGTATATACAGTGTGTGTGTGTGTGTGTGTGTGTGTGTGTGTGTGTGTAATCATGATGAACTGGACATGGTGTCTCGCATGGTATCTCACAACAGTTGGGGGCTCACGCAGTCATGCAGGAAGGCTGCCAGCACTGCTGTTTTATGTTCTGAAATCATTAAATGACTTACTTTGTTATGCTTTTTTGTGATAAAACAATCAATTGTTCAAACAAAGCAAAGCCCAGGCTCGTGAAGGAATTGGGGTTCAGAAGATGTGGTCAAAGCCATGAAGCTAGAAACCAAGATCAAAGCAGATGGGGTGTCAGTGCCCATGGGTTGCGCATGCTCCTCTGTTTTCACATGAGCAGGAAGAGGTCCCTGAACATGCAGCAAATGCAGAGGCCCATTCCACTGCCTCAGTGCCTCTCATGGCTTTGTTTCCTTCAGCTGAAAAGCGGCCCCCCTAGAGAGTCATCTTTCCTTCATATAGGGCCGCGCTTATATGGCAAGTGCATATCAGTGCTTACATCACAAGAGGGCACAAATGCCCTTAGGATGTCCCTGTGGGCCAGGGTTACAGGGAATATATTTAGCAGCAGCGTGGGTGAGGACTTTCATTTTCAAGTATGTGTCACTTTGTTGTACAGCTGAATTCATCCCCAGCCTAAGCAGCTAGTTGGTCTACTAGTTCACAGTACGTCATTATTAGGCATCATAGGACAGCCTGCATGTAATGTAGCATAGCAGCCAGTCAAGATCAACAAGCGGTCTTCAAAGCACAGAGGCTCCCAGAGCTCAGTGGAGTTTTCAATGAATCCCCTCTTGTGACTGACAGCTTGCTTGTGTCCATCTCTCTGACTTCCTAGCTGTTGGCTGAGGACTCTGACTTTAGAAGCATTTTACTTCTGCAGGTGTTTCAGAAGCAGTGGAAAAAACCTGTCACCCAGATGGAGGGGATTTCCTTGGTAACATGCATGGAAGCTTCAAAGAATGCTTGGGGGAAGAGACACACACACATCAGTAGTTTGGCCTCATCTCCGGTACCTCTCCACCTTACAGCTACACTCGAGAAACTCCCGAGAAATCCCAAGGGACACTGCCCAGAACTTGGCAGCTTTCATTCACTCATCCAGGTCCTTCCAGCAGATTTCCCAACTTCATTTTACAGCAGGTTTCTGATCCTTGCCCCATTCTAGAACCTGTGAGAAACTATGGAAAGCCCAAATTCCCAGGTCCTGCTATTCCTGATTTAGTCAGAATATTGGAAGTTGTTGCCACATATCACCATCTTTTAAATAGCTAAGGAGACTTCAGTGTGTGGAACGACCTGCAAGTCTTTGAGCTGTGTATACTTTTTAAATTTTGCATTCTTCACCTTTGAAGCTTCTGTTTTGTAAATATTTGTTTTGTTTGTTTTGTTTTGTTTTTGTTTTATTGCCTTGTCTCTATTCTTTTAAAGTCAGTTGGCTGGGCTGGGGCCTAGAGAGCTTTTCCTATGGTTGTTACCATCTCACAGGTGGTGAGGGGGTAGACAGGCTTGCAGAAGCAGGCCTCTCGACCCTCTCAGTGCAGGGCCTTGTCGTTAGCTGGTCCTTTTCCTGGCCTCAGAAAATTCATTAATTCATACCATTTATTCTGACCCGTAGTTATTGGCGCGATATCCCCTCATTTTGTAAGTATGGAGGAGTCCCCAGTTGATTAGCTTTAAGCCAGTAAGGCATCACCAATAGCCGTAGAATGGCACATTCAGAAGATGAACTCACAGAGCAACGCCCTGCTCACTACGTAGTTTCCCCCTAATGTTGTGATGCTAATATATAATCAGCACAGGAAGAACACCAAGAAATTAAGTATGACAGAACCACCTGACGTCATGGCTGAGGCAATAATGTACACAGAGAATCTACCCAGACTCCAGATCCCAGTGCTGATTACGGAGAACCATTGGCTCTCCTTCACTCTGACAGTAGAGCCCGCACTTGTCTCACTGGCATCTCTTGCTTTCCTGTCACCTGATATTTTAAGGAATGTGGTAGTCACATCTCTGTCAATAAGAAAAAAGTCCTCTGATAAGACAGCGACTATAAAGAGAAAAAGAAATACACACACACACACACACACACACACACACACACTCACATCACTAATGGTTTCAATCCATGGTCCTTGGCCATGTCATTTTGGGTCTGTGGTAGCACATATACCATGGAAATAACAAATCCTGGAGAAGTCTGTTCACATCACAACCAGTATACACACGAAGACTACCTCCTAGTCCTCCTCAGAGCCTCCTAGGAGCACTCCCCCAGTAACTGAGCCCCACTTCTAAGGGCCCTATATCCCAAAGGCTCTACCACCATTTAATGGCACCCCAAGCTAAAAATCAACCTGTCAATGCAAGGGCCTTCGGGTGATTTTTAAGATATAGTCCATGATAAGAAGCAACCTTCCTTAAGCTGCACCTTGCAAATTTTCTCTAAGGATAAGTCAGTGATTCCCAGGGAAGGTTTCCTTTGGTGCATTGGATATGTGAAAAGGACAGAGCCAAGACATCCACAGAAGAGGCATTCTCCTTCAGTAGACTTTGACTGTGCTTAGTAGCCCTAATAGTCTTAGTGTGAATTGTGAGTAAGAAATAAGCTTGGGATGTCATGCTCTCAAAGAAAGACCCCAGAGGAGGGGGCGCAAACCACAGAGCTGAAAAGTTGCAACCTGTGTGTGTTTGCGGTGGTGGCTGCAATTTGTCGGCTGTGAGGTGGCAGCAGGCTGAGACCACGGTGCTGATGGGCGGCAGCTCTGGGCTTGGGGACCTGCAGTGTGCCCATGCTCTTTGGTGTACTGCTCAATCTTCTTTTTTCTTGTGCTCGTGGTAGTTAAGGTGGCATGTTGCAATCAGTCCCCACGGTTGAGCCTCATGTGGGACCCCATGCTTCACCCTCTCCTTCCTCCTAGGAAGCCTTCTGGGTAAACCATTCTGAATGCTATTGAGAGGGAGCATATTAGTGATGTTTCATGTTTTCCTGAATGGCAGAGTTAAATCATTCTAGGATGTTGGTTGACTGCCTTTGCGAGAGATCTGTTCGCTGTCCACACTACAGAACCTTCCCCAGTGTCTCACATTTTCTCACTCTGTCCGTGGCAGGGAAAGAGAGGAGGAAGCAGACCAGTGGGTGGTGTAAAATAAACAAGTCTGTGGGGAGATGCTGCATGGATTTGCGTGTACTGTCAATGCAGAGTTTCAGAAAAGTGTCTGAAATCAAGGATATGAATACTATGATCACAAGAAATACATCTGACATAAAACACCATGAGTGTTAACACATGTGTCTTTACTGATACCAGAGTTTGCAGTACAGAGTTATATGTGGCATAGATGCACTGTTTCATCAAAACTTACATCTTCCTTCAGTATGCAGCTGAGGTCAGTGGTAAACCTGTACACACACACAGTTAAAATAATAGAGAAAGCACACTTAGAATGAGTATTTTATAGCCAGAGTTGAGATGTTGCCTGTCTATGTATGCACACGTGTGTCTCCTTTCCTGCTCTATACCCAAGCTCCAGACCTTATAAAGCAAAAACAACTCGACTACATCTTCATTCCTAGTTTTTATATTTGGGTGTAGTTACTATGATGATTTAACAAATCATTGTTTTAATCTCCTTCCATGCCCTTCTTCTCATCTTGACTTCAGTGTGGTGAATATCCCAGGATACACCGGCAAGGTTCATTTCACAGCCACCCACCCAACAAATTCTAATATTCCATCAACAACCCCATCACCAGATTCAGAGATGAACCGGTAAGTAGGAACCCTATTACTCAACTTGCTCACATACGTTAGAAAGAGAAATGATAATTATGGTTATTCCATTAAAGAACAATTAAATACTAAGTAAATTTGCAGTGCTGAAGAAAAACGGAATGTCAAGTACGAGAAAGAGAGCATTTCATTTTCTTACTGAGGGGAACTTTATTCAGAATTGCCTTGGGGTGGTGGGGGGGATGCAGGTTAATGGTCCTGTTTACCGTGCTGATGGCGGTCCCTTGGGGCTCTAATTCGGAGCTTATTGTGAGGAAGCATCTTCACCTCTGTGGCCCCCCAGTTGTGCAAGTATGTCATTAATCTGCTGTTGTCAAAGCTGCATGCTACCTAGGGTGTGCAGCAATAGCCACATTTGCTTCTTGTAAATGTCTTTTCATAAAGAAAACAGAATTCTGTTGAAACTCGTATGTATTTTAATGCCCGTTTTTGCACATTGAAACAGAAGGCAGCGGGTGGAGAGAACGGAGAAATATTTATTGGCAATCAGTGGTGAGAACAGCACACTATTCTCATCATACCCCAGATTTCGAAGCACTTGGTGGAGGTCCTGGCCCTGAACAAAAAGGACTACACAGTTCTGAAATGCGGGTGCTACCTGAGCCTAAGTGTAGCCTGTGCAAGTGAGCCACCAATGTTGGGGACCCTCCCCTAAGGGTACCCTTTTCTTTAGATCACATTCTTCCATCAGGGGAATATTTCATTTGTCACATATTCATCTCTTCTTGGGCCAGGCACTGTATGTGCATGACCCCACACTTAAATCCAGAATTGTGAAATAGACACTAAAGAACACAGGAAGACCAGGCCTGGTGGCACATGCTTTTAATCCCAGCACTCACTTAGAAGGCAGGCACAAGCACACCTCTGTGAGTTCAAGGCCAGCTTGGTCTACATAAAGTGTTTCAGGTCAGCCATGGCTAGATCATGAGACCCTGTCTCAAAACAAACAAATAGACAAGCAACAAAAACTACAAGTAACTGAAGAAATAGAATAATTTGGAAGTCCTGAAGCAGGCTAACATCATAGAGATGTCATTATGTCATAATCTCATAATGCTGGCATCTGGAGTAGGTGCCCTGTGGCTGGAAAGGACTTTCTGAGGACTGAGGCTAGGGCTTGACCACTAGTAGAACTCTTCTTTCCAAGGGCTGGAATATTCCGGAAAGCAGCAGCTATAAATGAGAACAGCATCCCAGAAGAGTGACGCCCAGCTCCTTTTGTTTAATCCGCATGATCTCTGATTGTATTATCACATACTGATGGTGTCCCAGCAGTTCATAGGAGCACAGCTTGTTCACAAGAAGGAAGTGAACAAGACAGAAACTGCAGCAAAGGATGATATCCAGAGCCCCTGTGGGACAATTGCTCTGCACACTCAGTTGCTGTTACTGTCTGGGTGGCTCTTACCAACCACATTTCCCACACGAGGAGAATGAGGCACGCACTTACAAGCTGCAGGGGCTTGTGGGGTGCCGAAGATCTCACAGGGGAATTGCTTCAAGGAGTGACTCTCAGAAGGGAAGGACTTGCTTGGTGTCAGATGTGTGAGAGTCAGGTGACAGCAGCCCCACAAAGGGTAGAAGGGACTCTTAGGAGGGTGGCAAGGGCCACCTCAAGCCTTCTGTGAACTCCACAAGGCCTCTTCTGTAAGTACAACATTAAAGGAGAGAAAGGGTTCCGCTGACAGAGGTTTTCTCAGCATATCTAAATTCCTGGCTTGACAACTACGTTGAGTATCCAGTCCTTTAGTGCGGGACATCTCAATAGGAAGTGAGTGGTCTCAAGACTAAGAGTTGGAATTCAATTTAATTTACTTCCAACACATTTTTCCAACCTCAATATTTATATGTACAGTTAAAAAATAAAATTTACTGTGTGTACCTAAAGGAATATGGTGTTATAGGACACATATACAGATAATTAAATGATTGTATAGTCAAACAGATGAACATGCCCATCATCTGTCAGTTTTGCAAGAACAAATAAAATCTGCTCACAAAAACAAAATTTCTGAATGCAGTCCTCTGTGATTTCCCGTTGTCCTCATCTTGTGTTACATCTCTAGACTTATTCTTATCTATTGCCGTGGCTTATCCTCTGACCTACATCTCTCCATTTCCTCCTACCAACCATCCATCCTCTCTAACCTCTGCTCTCTGCCTTTGTATATTTGGTTTTTTAAATATAAATTCATATTAAATGTGATCATGCAAGGTTTTTCTTCTATTTCTAAGTCATTCATTGTACACAATGCCCTCTACGTTTGTCCATGTTATAGCAAATGTCAGAATCTCCTTTTTATTTTATTCAGCCTCTTTTTTAAGACTGACAAATATTCCAGGGGGAGTTTTGATGTATATAGTTATGTCATAATTCATGCATCCATCTATAGGCACCTGGATTATTCCATATCTTGGCTATTATGGACAGCAACAAACGTGTGATATAGGTGTCTCTTTGAAGCAGCTCTCATATCCTTGGATGCATATGTACCTGAAATGGCATTGCTAGATCATCTCTGAGCTCTATGTCTTATATGCCCAGGGTCTCTCATGCTAATTTATATAACGACTGCACCAATCTCCATTTCCTCAACATTGTGAACAACTCCCTCTTCTCCAGTCTCTCCAGTGTCGCGTCTCATCTCCTTTTGATAATAATCATCTCATCCTAATTAGTGTGAGATTATAAATATCTCATTGAGTTTTTATCTACACTCGCAGGTCATTAGTGTTTTGGAACATTTTTCGCATACTTTTTTTTCACAGTTTTATGTCTTTTTTTTGAAGAATGTCTTTGAAGGTCCTTTATTCATTGAGGTTTTTGTGGTTGAGTTACATGTTTTTTTTTATATTTTGGATGTTAACTCTTATAAGATACATAGGTCACAAGTGTTTTTCCCAATCCTTATGTTAAGGATTTTATTGTTTCCTTGTTCAGTGGTGGCTTTAATTTGCTACATTTCCATCTATTTTTTGACTTGTAGCCTTGGCTTTTGGTGTGATATCCAAGATACCATTGCCAAGGTCAATGTCAAGACACGTTTCAAATGTTACAAATCCATCCTTCAAGCTGGTAGGCACGGAAGCAATTACAATTCCGTGGCATACGAAGAACATATGCCAACCACTAAATATATCCTTGTACCTGTCAGGATATGACAGTGAAGATAAAACATTCTGACTGGGGCTGGTTCATGGTTCAGATGTCCAACTCAAAGACTCCCATTAGAGCAAACGCAGGCATTGCTCACCTCTCTCCGTTTTGTCCTCCTTAAACCCCAACTGTGTGAGGGTTTACCCAGACATCCTGTTGCTGTAACACCTTCCCACACATCCGCACTGCTACAGAAGCAGACAATCCCAGAGGGGGCAAAAAGGCTCCTTTTATCTTTCAGATAAATCTCTACTTCTGAGCTAAAACATATCCCTTTGTTTTGCAACCAAAGAGAAAAACTCAACTCTTTCATCTCAGTGTCCCCATGCCATCAGGTTCTGACTGCTTCCACAGTTGTCCCCAACACACACATGGGTGTCACTTATTACCCCAGAGTGAGGACCTGGAACCCTGTTAGGTGGCTTGTCTGAGGTTCTTTTTTTTTTTTTTTAAGGAACGAGGCAAAGCTTTATTTTACATACCAAAAAATCAATTCCAATACATGATCATATAAAAATTAGTAATGAGGTGTTTTGCATTCAGCATCCTAAGCAGACACAGGAGAGAGGGAGAGAGATGTACAGGTGGGGCCAGGTACTTCCAGCAATGTATTCCTAAGCCACAAATTATTTAGGATCACTGCCACAGCCAGATACCAGGAAGGGGAAGGCAGGGTCTGCCATTCTCAGAATGTACATGGACATGTGGTATTTTTGTCTGAGGTTCTTAATCTGGGAGTGAAGAACAGGTAGAATTAGTGACAACAACCAGAGTGTTTCCCTCAACTCAGGACGGCTTGTGTTGGCTCCAGTCTGCCCAGTCTACCGCACACAGTCAGCCCACACAGAAACCTTCCGTGCCTGAGATGCTGTAGCTGAGAAAGCACAGTCCAGAGGAAAAGGAGGAGTATGGATTTAAGATAACTCCACATTGTCATAAAGATGATGTGCCCTAGCAGGAAGGCAGGCCATCAAAGCTCTCGTCCATGTAGTTCCGCCTCTGACATCTCTGACATTTTTGTAGCACTATTTAAATGCTTTTCTGAAAGTTCCCAGGGAAAGTATAAAGCCATGTGTCTGCCCACTGTGTGTGTGGTGAGGGCTCCATGAGCGTGAGCAGCTTCCCCGATTGTGTCTACATGGCCTAATGCCTGTTCCCTGTTGTGATTTGTTCTGAGCATGTTATCTGGCAACCCTGGCAATTTTGGCTCCGACATATGACATCTGTGCTTTTGTGATGTGCTCCTCTCCTTTTAGACGCCTGTGCCTGTCTCTAGAGGGACTGACCAAGCCTTTCGTAATCTTGTAGTCCTTTCTTCATGCCCCTGCAGAGACCCGGGCCATCCAAGTTGGCTGCCTGGTTTCCTCTGCTACTTTACCCTCCTCCACAGGATCCATCGCTGACTCTTTCTCTCCCTCTTAGGAAGATGTGCGCACCCGAATGTCTCCATTTCTGCTCACTTCTTTGCATCTGGCTCCTCTCTGCTCACTGGCCAGGCGCTGAGGCAAATGCACTTCTTCAGTGACTCCCGCTGCCCCTCCAAGCTGCCATTCTCTTTTTCTCCTCCCCTTCTTTTGACTTCCGAACTTCTTAAGGAAGCAAGCAATCACTCTCAGCATCCGTCTTCCACTTTCTCCCAGACTGTCCCCGACCTTATACCGTCTGGATTCTGGTTGCACCAGTAGAGTGGGGGGCTCTGGCCAGTTTGAGAACTAATGCAGAGGTAGGAGTGGGGGCTATTGGCATCTCTTCACATGGAGGATAGGGACCGGACATTTGCCAAGGATCTTTGTATTAGATAAGACTTAAGGGCCAACATGGACCTTTGTTTGCTTAGACTTTGATGGATGCATGAAAAGAAGACTCCGTTCTGAATCTCGAGACAGGTGTAGTGAACCCCAAGTGCCTTCCGATTCGCATGGGGGCCGAATGCAGAATAGATGGGAAAGAGACAATGAGGAGAGATGTACAAGGAGGAGATGGGGACGTGCTTGAGGCAGATAAGAAGGAACAGGTGTGCAAACATCTCTCTCAACTCTTGTTTCCATCGAGGTCTGGTGTTCTCTGTGTGGTCCTTACTCTAGGATGTTGCCTGCGCAAAAGCTGGGCCATTTCCTACAACACAGGTTTTAAAGGATACATAAATACAGTATCATGTTAACTACAGCCCAAATATAAAGCTATTTCAGATTGCATGGCTGTAATGTGTATTCTTTCCTGCCAGCTGCCCGGTCCCGCTGCTGTCTCTGCCCCCAAATAACACATGAGACACTATATTAATTATGAAGCTGTTGGCCATTTGCTGTGGTTTCTTAATGGCTAGCTCTGACTTAATTATTAACCCATACCTGCTAATATATATTTTTATAAGGTCTTATCTTACCGAGAACGCCAGACTTGCATCCTCTCCTCCCAAGATCACATGGCAACTCTCTACTCTTGACTATATTTCCCAGAATCCTCCTTGACTCCGAGTCCCACCTATCTTGCTTCCCTGTTGGCCAACAGTGCTTTATTTATCAACCAATAGGAGAAACATATACACAGAAGGCCTTTCCCCCATCACAGGGCTGCATGGGAGTTACCTCCCCACAGCAGCTGGCTCTCTAACTTTATGCTTCATACTAGCATTGCAGTGTGTGTTTTGAACCAACCTTATGGAGCATTCACAGCAGATTTCTACACACAGAAGGTTCTTCGGTTTGTTGGTAATAGTTGGTATGATGCCCAGCATCCCTGCTCCGGGATGGTAACCTGAGGGGTAAAGCCCTGTCTTCATAGCAGTCCACATTCTCAATTTTCTTTCTGTCAATTATAGGGAAAGTTTGGTAGGGCAGATTTATTCCTACTAAGACATAGTGACGTCATAGCTGAGCAAACATACAGCTCCACTCCAGGATAGACGCAGAAATGCAGACTCCACACCCTGCTCCTCAGGGCAGTGGCTGTCCAGCCTGTGTCTGCTTCTCTCACCCATGAGCCTCTCCTCAGGCTAAGCTGCCTGCCCTCCCATGCGCTTGCCACCTCTTTCAAGCAGGCTCCATGCAAATGCCCCTCCCCCTCCCGAGGTGGACCTGTCTCCAGGGTCCCTGCATCACGGACTTCCTACACAAGTTTTTGGGTCAGTCCGTGTCCACCTGTTTCCTAAGCATTTGCTGTAAGTCTTGGACACATTCTCAGAAACAGAGCACGGAGCAATGCGCATGGTGCGTGCACAAAGTAGGGTCATTCCCAGCCCCCTCCTCCTGTGTGTAACCCTCTCACCGTTCCATTTCTGTGGCTCATTAGTTTTACAAAAGAAAAAGTATTTGTTTTCATGTTAATTATTTATGTCATTTGTTTCTCCTTGTGCCCACTCCCGTCCTAGCATTTTACGACAAGAAATGGGAGTTGACTGCTTCCGTCACCAGGCCCCACTGTCGCGAATGGTCACAACTGTGAAGCCTTACAACCCCTTCAACAGGAAGGAAAAAGAAACCTTTGATTACTGAAGGAGACCACACCCCCGAGAGGCTTCTAAGTCCCAGCTGTGGGGAAGGCTTTGTGCACAGGAATGGAGAATCAAGAACACAGAATAGTCTAACTGTGTCGGTGTCTGTCTGTATGAATCGGGGTCCCTCTCCAACGTGGAATACTGTGCCTCCCTAGAGTGTCATGAGTTTGAGGATTAGACGCGATCCTCATGTTCAAAAGTTGAGCAGTGGTGATAGACGATGGCATTCTTTTTGTCGCCTAGGGGACAGTACAACATGGGGTGGGGCACCATTGAGAGACAGGTAGGCAAAAACGCTCTCCTTCCTACTCCAGGATTTCTGCTCTAAAGAGTGAAGCATTCCATTACAAAGATCTCTCTTATGAGTTTCACAAAAGAGGCCACATGCGATTGCCTGAAACCAACTGCTTTAATGAATTATATTAAGGTGGCATTGACATCATTAATTAATTCATGCAATAGGATGCAATTAAAGATGAAGAAAACAGGGTACTGGAATGGGTTAGACTGTTGCCTCCTCCCACTTCCTGTCCACATCCCCCCCAACCGCTGCTTCCTGATGTAATCCTGAAGCATCTGCCCCAAGACAGCCGCCATCCACACTTTCTCTCCACTGTGACAGCCCAGTTTAAAGCACTCACACTGCTTACTTTCCCAGGCTGTCCTCAAAGCATCATCAAGAATTTCAAAGGAGGCAAATATAGCTTTAGCTGTATTGTACGAGGTAGAAAGAGAAGCAGCCTGGGAAGCAAGCGTGTGGGGGCACATGGCCAACGGCATCTGTGTGTGTGTAGATGGAATCTATGTCCTCAGGGTGGGAGGCAGCCAGAGAAAACTGAATAACTTCTTCAGCAAGTAAATAGTATGAATCTGTTGTGGTTACTGTAGACCCTGAGACTACAGAGTTCTTGCTGTGCATGCTGGCACATGCCCACAACCCCAGCACTCCGGAGGCTGAGGCAGGAGGATCACCAGGTCCAGGCAAGCCTAAATTACAGAAATCTAATTCCAATTACAATAAAAATAATTATTAACATGTGAAAAAAAAAGAGTGAAGCAGCCGCAGGCTCACCGGGAGCCTTCAGGCAGGCACAGCCCACCAAATATAACAGATTAGCATGGCCCAACTGTGCTTAACCTAGGAGAACAGCAGCAATAGCAGAAGTGTCCCAGACTCTTCCCCAGCACAGGTCTATTCATAGGCTCAGGAAGCACATGCATGCAAGTTTGTGTACATCTATACGGTGTACCTGCTAAGAGTTACAAAGTACTTTCAGAATCTTAGCTCATCTGATCTTGTCACCCCATAATACATTCTTGCAGCAAGCATTGTACACATCACTTGCTGTTTTATAAATAAAGCACAGGAAAGCTTATCTGCAACTCAAATTATCTGTCTCTAGATAATTTACCTTAACTCTGATCCATTTCTACACACATTGGGTGGCCTTCCATGAATTGTTTACAAATAAAACTAGACAAGGAAGGAAAACTCTAGGTGTTTCTAGTTTTCAAAATACAGGAGAGGGGAGCTTACCACCAAGCTCCAAATAAATGGGCAAACACCTTCGAGGGAAAAAAAGCAAATGTAGCTTCCTTTCTGTTGTGGAATGGTAAGTTACCTTGGTGGACTAGGAAATGATTTTAATGTTGACTCCTGTGCAGTAACAAATAGAAAAACAATAGCCATTGGGAGATACTAAAGACATGACTTTCCTTTGAGAAAAAAGGCATGCTTTGCTTGAGCCCAAATGAAAGTCTAATTACTTTTGGCAATCACTGTCAAGTCTGTTGTTATGGTCGGAATGTGAAATGCCCCTCACAAGCTGCTTGGGGTCCAGCTGGGGTGCTGTTGGGAAGAAATGGTTGCTGGAAGGGCCGTTTGGATTATAGACTGGCCCTGGTTAGGCCTTGTCTTAGTTTCCTTCTTATTGCTGTGATAAAAACACCATGAACAAAAGCCACTTGGGCTTATTTCATCTTATATTTTATAGTCCATCATGAGGAAAGTCAGGGCAGGAACCAGGAGGCAGGAACCAGGAGGCAGGAACGAGGCAGGCCATGGAGGAGTGGTGCTTACCAGCTTGTGCCTCCTGGCTTTCTCAAGTTTGCTTTCTTACATACCTCAGGGCAACATGCCCTGAGATGGCACCACCCAGAGCAGGCTGAGCCCTTCAATATCAATCATCCATCAAGAAAATCCTCACAGGCTTGCCCACGGGCCAATCTAATGGAGTCAACTCTTCAGCGGCCACCCCCTTTCCCAGTTCATCCCAGCTTGTATCAAGTGACACACTAATTAGCGCAAGGCCTGGCCCATCTCCTGCTGCACAACCATGTGAGCAAGGGGCCTCATCCTCCCACCCCGTGGTATTGCCCGCCTTCCCTGCTGCGATGGACCGCATGCCCCAACCCGAGGCAAAACGACCCTTCCTTTAAGTTGCTTTTTCATGCGTTTCATCACAGCAATGAGAAAAGCTACTTTCAGAAACGTCAGACCAGAATGAAAACCTTCAGTTCTGTACGACTGGTAGTGAAGCGTAAATGGAGTGGAATTAGCCTATCTAGCAAGTAGATGAATGTGACACCTGAGGTTCAATTTTCAACAAATATTTCAGAGGGGCCACCTGTGGGGGGCATTGCTCCACCCCTGAGGAACCTGCTCATCCTTCTGGGCCTTTTGGTGACACTGTAATAGCTATTGTGACGTTCTGTAATCCCACACTTCCATTCTCTACAATGCAAATATCAGACCCTCAGGAGGGCTCTCGTGCCCTTCCAAAGTTGCTTCTGATAAGGTGTTGGCTCTGTCCTGCTGCAGAGGCACACTGACACTCCACTAGTGTCTATGACTCAACCAGGGTTCTTCTCATCTGTGAAGATGCAAGGTGAATTCTGCTCACCACGTTCTGAGAATATGGGCCAGAGAATGTGAGCTGTAGTAATGTTTCTATGGTCAGCAGCCCAGGCAAGGATGGATGCCACACGCATATGCACGCATCTGCTGTTCAAATTCTGCAGCCTAGACTTGGATTATACAGATTACATCAGGGTCCAGCACACCGGCACATTTTTCTCTCATTCGGTGCCCCATACAATGTCACTCTCAAAAACTTTGTATCTGTGAGACGTATAAAAGGGAACCTCTACTGTTTAATTCAGCTATAAAATGTGGTGTGCATGCCCAGTATGATAGTACACCCCTACAATCCCATCTACTCTAGAGCCTGAGGCAGGACGATTACTAGTTCAAGGCTGTCTTGAACACTTTAACTAATCTCAAAAAAATTCTAGTGGCCCAGAAATATCAGCTCAGTGGTAGAGCACATTTCTAGCTGCCCAGTTTATTCAAGACCCTGATTCACCTGGGAGAGAAAAAAAAATGCATGTTAATATTACTTCAGCCAGTTATGAAGTTCACAATATGAAAAAGGTGAACCTCATGGCAGAACAGGGCAGAAACTTCACAAATGGACAGGTAGAATCATTTTATACTCATGGGCACATATAAATTTGGTTTAGCATATGATATAAGGACAAATATGCAGAAACAAAGAAAGATAGTGGACTCTCCTCCATGGTCACTGAGCAGCCATGGGTAATTGGCTAGGTTTACAGTATCAGGCATGAGCTCCTTCCTTTTGCACAGTCCTTAAGTCCAAGTAGAAGGCTGCCGATTGTCCCTAATGTGTCACTGCTGCACTCGTGGGTTATCTTGTCACTGTTGAGGGCCATAAGCTTTATGGATGAATACACTATTAATTGCTTTTGTCCTGGTAGCAAAGTGGTCCGCATGGCTCACCTGGGAGAATGTTAGACAGAAGAACTGAGTAGCGGAAAGTATTGGTTTCTCCTGAAGACCTGGTTTTGAGAGGGGATTACTAGGCAGAGAGAACAGGCATGAAAGGGGCTATTTGCAGCCAGCTGCTTCTCAAGCACCGTTAGGAACACATGCTTACCAAGGCCAGCTTACTCTGGTAAACATGGCATTGACACAGCTGATACCTTTTCACCACTGGCAGCAGGTGCCTCCCATATCTGGGGGCCCCTCTGAGACCTATGAATACCAGTGTAGTGGCATCCTCTGACATAAACTCAACGGCCCCTTGTCAGTAACCCACTTGACAAATGTCTTCAACAATCTCTGATAACACCCTTTGGTGGAGACAGAAGGAGCATCTCTTGCCCAGAGGAGGAGACAAGGAGAAAGTCCTGCTTCACATTCTCAAAACACACCTAAAAACACCTTAAGGGATGACCGTCCCCTTAATTACATGCATACTTATACAGCCCCAAAAGACTCCCTTTATGCAATTGCTTACACAACCTCACTGCTAAGCTCACCCACTTTCTGAGTTCTAACTTAGGAAGCATTTTTTCTCTTCTTCATTTACTCTCTTTTTTATTTAGACCTTGGCATCCTAAGACTCCTCATCCTTGATTTTCTCTGTCTCTCTCTGTCTCTGTCTCTCTCTGTCTCTCTCTCCCTCCCTCCCTCCTTCCCTCCTCTCTCCTCTCTCCTCTCTTCTCTCTCTCCTCTCTCCTCTTTTCCCTATCCCCCATCTCTCTTCACCAATGTGTCTGTGTGTGTGTGTGTGTCTGTGTGTGTGTCTGTGTCTGTGTCTGTCTGTGTCTGTGTGTGTGTGTGTCTGTGTGTACACCCATACAGTGGCTAGCAAAATTCCATTGCTGGGCCTAGTTGCTTCGTGGGTCTTGACTGATAAAGATTACCTTTTGCTCTTTTTCCATCTTTCATCTCCCACAAGCTGCCAAGTTCTGTAACTTACCTGCCCTATTGTTGTTTTCTCTGAAACTTCAATAAAAAATTTCCTGTTTTCTTTAAAGACTTTTTTAAAAAATTCTTTGAGCTACAAGCCTATCAATCTTTAAAAGAGATCTTGCATCTTCAAATGACAATATCTAAGTCTAGGAATCTGATAAGTTATCCATCTCAATCTTTTATAAATTTGGGAGGCACATGGTATTGAAATAAATAAAATAATACAGAGTAAACATTTGTTTTCCTCTGCCTGCCAGGAAGCTCTGAGTTGATTAAATAATCACATTAGCATAGGGACTCAGACAAA